CCCCCCCCCCCGCCCAGGGATGAAAATCTGGTATTTCCCACTAGCATTGAACCCTAAATATTTCATATATTACCTGCAACACCTTTCAGGAATTTGTAATTGAGACTGATATTCAGGATGACCTCATGAGTCTTTCAAGTAGAGAATCAGACTGTATGGAGCTCAACTAATTTCTAACTCTGGCTCTGGACATGAGGCTCTGCCTTTGAGTCCCTGGAGGAATGGTCCAAGGGGCTAATCATTTTAAAGCACTTTAATCATAGGCACTGTGTTTCCTTCTATGTTATTAGACTTCTATCAGCTTTCTTTTAAGGTGTCTGAAAGGGAGAAACAAAATTGTCACAATTGAACTGAGATTGCAGTTATTCAAGTCTTAATGATAAATATCTTTCATTGTGTTGCTTTCATGCACTAAAACCTTCAGCAGCTCACATTACCCTTGTGTATTAAATCTAAATCCTTCAGTGTGACTTTCAACTCCCTATATACTTTGGCCCCTTTCTACCAGTCCAGTTTTGCAACATGCAATCTCATGTTCCTCAACATGCAATCTTTAATCTAGTTAAATGGTTTCCTTACTAGTGTACAAATGTGTCACACATAAAATCTCCTCTGCAAGCTTCCCTCCACCTTTTTAATGCTAGTTATTTTTTATTTATTTTTAAAACCTGTATTTTGAAATAATTTGATTTAGAGTGGCATGAATAGTACAAATAACCTCTTTATATTTGCACAGATTCATCAGTTATTTACCTCTTGCCTCACTTGCTTTATCACTCGCTTTTTCTGTTGTCAAAAATCTTTCTTGATAATATTTCCCTCCTTGGCAATGTCCTTCCCTTTCCCCTGAACCCAGCCATGGCCTATTGCCTTTTTTTTTTCTTTTACTACCCCAAATGAAGTCCCAGTTGATAAGAGCAGATGAGGGTTGATTGTAGTGGAGCATTTATCTTTTATTAAGTTTTAATTTTATTTATTTATAATAACCAGTAATATATTCACATGGTTCAAAACTCAAAAGGCACAAAAAAGGTAGATAGTGAAAAGTTTCCTTCTTAGGTCTGTTCTTTGACCACCTAGTTTTTTTCTCTGTAGTCAACCCATGTTACCAGTTTTTTCTGTGATGTTTCAGATATACTATAAATATATATAAGCATATACACGTAATATTTGTTTCATCCCACCCCCTATTTTTTTTAATGTTTATTTATTTTTGAGAGAACGAGAGTATGTGTAAGCTGGGGAGGGTCAGAGAAAGGGGGGACAGGATCTGAAGCAGGCTCCGTGCTGTTAGCAGAGCCCAATATGGGGCTCGAACTCACAAACCGTGAGATCATGACCTGAGCCGAAGTCAGATGCTTAACCAACTGAGGCACCCAGGAGCCCCTCAACCCCCTGTTTTTTAAAAACACAAATAGTAGCATACTCTGAAACTGTTCACAATTTCACTTACCCTTTTCATTTAATGGTATAATTTGGAGGGTAGTTCATATTAGTACATAAATGTTTTCATCTTTTTGATGGCTGTATAATATTTCATTATAAGGCTTTTTCATAATTCATGTATCAGTTGCTTACTGATGGTCCTTTAGGTTGCTTCTGGTGTTGATGTTCTAGGAAGTGCTACAATTAATAACCTTTGAGATTTCCTTATGAACTTCTGGAACTTTCTAGGAGTAGATGTGTCTCACATTGTTGTTCTTTCAGGGGTCAAGTTCTTCCTGCTCATACGCTTCTGAATACAGTAGATGTTGAACTTATCTATGAGGGAGTCAAATATGTACTTAAGGTATGCTGAACCCAATTGAAGACTACACCTTACTTTTTGTCTTTCTTTGTTAGCTTGTTTTCTTTAAAGGTCAAGATATCAGGGAAATGTTTGGTTTACTGCAGGATAGGGTATTAGTGAAATTACAGTCATTTGTGTCAGTGTTTTAGTGCCCTTCAATGTGACATATGCAGCCAAGAGATCAGGAGTCAGAGAATAACCAGACTGGGGAAAAGCGTCTAGGGTCACCCTATGAGCTTGCAACAGGGCTGAGTCATGCCCACAGATATTGATGCTAAGAGCACCTTCCTCTCTGACAGAGCTTTCTTACCTATATCTTTAAGGTACTGAAATTTTGTCTGGGGTTCCACCTGGAAGGGACACACTGACTTGTCCCTTCTGGTTCTCATTCCCTACAGGTGACTCGACAGTCCCCCAACTCGTATGTGGTGATCATGAACGGCTCATGCGTAGAAGTAGATGTGCATCGGCTGAGTGATGGAGGGCTGCTCCTGTCCTATGATGGCAGCAGTTATACCACATACATGAAGGAGGAAGTGGATAGGTAAGGGACTGTGTGAGGTCCATTTGCTGGTCATTGTATCAACCTTTCCTCTCAGTAGTCACCAGCTCTGGGGCTTTTTCAGGGCCTATTTGCGTGTTCTTTTTTAAATAAAAAGAATAGTACATGTACTTAACAAAGATTTCAAGAGTACAAAAGTGTTTATTTCCAGTTAAAAACACTGTTTCTCTGCCACTCCAATGTGAGTAGAGAATGAAAAATAAGTTCTCATCTTTTCAATCAACCACTGTTAACAGTTTATTTTTGCAGAAATTTTATGTGGATATATAATTTTTATATATGTACATACTGTGTTTTTCTTTTGCATACATTCACAAGTAAAAATAACCTTTAGATACTGTTCTGCACTTTCTTTTTTTCCTTTAACAGCTATCATAGACCGTTCAACACCAGTTATTCAACGTTAGTGCGACAGTTTCATGAATTAACATACGTAAAGTGCTTAAAACATTGCCTGGGGCATAATAAGCATTCAAGAAATTATTAGTTGTTATTAGTTGTTAGTTATTATATCATCATCATCTTCATGTTCTTTTTTTAAAATAGAGTTGTCTATTCTTTTCAATGGTCATATAATATTCCATTATACAGATGTACCATAATTTGACCCTTATTGAAGGAGATTTTGTCTGTGTGCATTGTCAGCAAAGATGGGATGAATGTTCTGTTTTCCTGTATACAGAATAAAGTTTCCAGTTTGAGGAAGGAGGGTTGTGGGTTTTTTGCTGTGTTTTTGTTTTATTTCAGATTGACATTATTCTGACATTCTCCTTTACAACCCAAGGTGCTTTATTTATTGGCTTACATACTCCTACTTACCTCCTAGATATCGTATCACAATTGGCAATAAGACCTGTGTGTTTGAGAAGGAAAATGACCCTTCAGTGATGCGCTCACCTTCTGCTGGGAAGTTAATCCAGTATATTGTGGAGGATGGAGGCCATGTGTTTTCTGGCCAGTGCTATGCTGAGATTGAGGTCAGTGTGGCGGTGGGCCTCTCAGGGCATGGGCGGGTGGGGGGAAGGTGGGGAAAGCATCTGCTGGGATGGACTAGGACTGAAGAGTAACAGAAAAGAAAAGGAAAGTAAAGAGCATCAGTTGGTTTAATTGGCTTATGAACATGATTTTAAAAACAAATAAAAAGCTCACAGTTTTTCTCGGACAGATGAGGAATCTCTTGCTCCAAAGATAGATACTGGGCAACAACAGTGCTTACCGGTTGGTTATAAAGAAAAAAAAATAAAGATAGGTGGAGTGGGGCCACAAAACAGACAAGTAATGAAATATGAATTCCGAGAGAGTTAAGCACAGAGTGCAGGGGGGTCACTTAATCCAAATTGGGGTGCAGCTGGTGGATGTGGTGGATAGTAGGGGAGGATCTCCTGAAAGAGAGGGGACTTTGAGCTTACTTTTTTTTTTTT